AGAGCGAGCCAGTACAGCTGGTGTTAACCACCCAAAACATACACACACGGAGTGGCAGAACAACCACAGTGGCACCGGTACAAACGTCATGACTGTGCCAACACATCCAGAGTACACTGTATGTATAACTAAATAAACATTTCCAGATTGTTGAATAGATTATTGACCGGCTGTGTGTTGTGTAGCTGGTTAATAAGTGGCTCTATTGAAGACGTGACCGCTCCTCAGATGAGCCGTTCTCACGACAATGAGATGAATAGAATCAATGCAGCAAGAAAAGTAAACTGCAGAGTCTCAAAAAGGATAAGAACCGCCTGTCTTGAGTGGTGTTACATCTACCGGTACTAGAAGGGCATCGCAATGCCTCGCCGTTAAAGACGGTACGATACCCCATTTAATCAGTGCCGCAACTTTAAGAATGACAGCTTTTTAATAAGAGCTGCAGGCTATTTCCTATGAGCAGGACTGCATTGGGATTGGGATCCGCCGGGAACTTTGCTGCAGTCAAAAAATAAACTGCGGGTCTTGAGATTTAGCAAGCGCTAACCATAGAGTCAACGAATGAGACACTACACAGTGCTTTCTACGGTTTATGTGGTGTCTTCCTGATTTTAGCAGGTTTTCCATCATCAACTCCTGACAGAAATTCCCAAAGAAATTCCCGTTTTTGTTTTGGAAGCAACTCTCTGTCTCCCGTCCACTTATTAAGGACCACTGTTTAACAAGTGATATCTAGGTGCAAATATCAAGAGAACTATCAAAGAAATCACATTAACTCCAGTACAGGTTACTGCATACCATGTACATTTTTTAATTAATACATTTAAAAATATATATTATTAAATATAATAATTTCAAGTTCCATGGTCCATTACATTTCCAGATGTTTTAAGTTTTTCATATCGTATCGGTATCGAGGTATTTAGCCAGGGTATGGTATCGAAGTCATAATTTTGGTATTATGACAACACAAGTGCTGAGAGCCCTGCTGCTGCTGAGCTCAACGCTTGTGCCTTGCTACAAAGGGTGGTGAGTCCATGAATAAGTGCTTCTGCTTATGAGCAGTGTTGTTTTCACGTGTATGTACAAGCTCATCTCTCCTGCCAACATCTGAGCTCTTATACGGTGAGCCTGGCAGGGCCGCGGCGTCGTATCTGTGCCTGTAGGAACGCACTTGTTTCAAGCTGTCAGTCAGGCATCTTTATTTTCCCACCGCAGCAGCTCCCACAGGTTCCTGGTGCTCAGCTCTGTCGGCACTCCACCATGCCAGCCATGCCAACAGTGCACTCGCACAGGGAGGGCGGCGCAGTGGGCAGGGTGGGAAAGTGAGGGACCGCCAGAAGTGGGGGGAGGGAGAGGAGGGGGAGAGACTTAAAGGGTGTGTGTGTGTGTGTGTGTGTGTGTGTGTGTGTGTGTGTGTGTGTGTGTGTGTGTGTGTGTGTGTGTGTGTGTGTGTGCGCGAGCGCGCGCATGTGTTTGTGTGAGGCTGGAGAGATGCAGGTATCTGTGCAGCTGCATCCTTCAGGAGGAACGCTGCACACAGGCGAAGAGGTGCACAAGTCTAGACAGTTACGTGTGACTGTGTATGTGTGTGGGTGTGTGCGCTAGTGCTGAAGCAGTTAGTCCATTAATCAAAGCTGGTCAACAGAAAATCACACCGACAAATTATTGATTAATAATTGTGAAAAATGGTTAACTGCTCAAGCCTCTGTGTGAAGAATTTTCAATTTTTCTCTTAAAAAAATACAAGCCATCAATTTTTTTAAATATTTGCTGGTTCCAGCCTCTGAAATATGAGTTATTTTACTTTTTAGTTTTAATTTATATCATTGTAAATTTAATATTTAATTTAATATCTATGCGACAAAATTGGCTATTTCAATGCTGTGTATAATTTTATAAGTGACCAATTACGACGAAAATAATTACTGGATTAATCAAGTCTATTATATTTATTTATAAAGCACCTATTAAAACGGAAATGCTAAATCAATAAAGGAAGCCTTATTGTGTGTACATGCATCTATTTCTGCATATTTGCTCGAAAAAAATGAAACCATGTTATGTAAACATGTCTACCAGAGTGTGTGTGTGTGTGTGTGTGTGTGTGTGTGTGTGTGTGTGTGTGTGTCTCAGGTTATATTGCACATGGGTAATCCCCTAATCCTTTAGCTTTTCACTGTGATGTTAGACACACACCTGTTGAAGTAACAGCCCTCAGCAGCTCCCTTCAATACACATACTGTACATGCACACACATTTTCAAACCAGCACACACTCAGCACCCGAGGGAAGGAGATCCTGCTTTCACCTGTGGGGAAAAAAAAAAGGGGGGGGGAGATCTCATATTCGCTCTCATCGCCACTCAGTTGCACCCCTCACACACACACGCACACATGCACACACACCTGTAATGTTACCTGATAGCAGAGTGCTTGACGGAGGCTCTGGCAGACTAGTAGATAAGCCTGGTCTGGCAGTGGGTGGTCCTCTTTCTCCGTATTGATGTTCAGGTAGTAACAGTTCTGTGTTGGAGCAGCTGCTGCTGGAGTCAGATGAGGTTACTGTAGGAAGAGACAACACGGTCACTCAGACCTCTGATACTGTATTCACTTTAATGTGCTTAACGCAGTGGATGTTGGTCGAGAGATTAACACGAGAAACGGCTCGTTCACTCTCACATTGCAAAAGTGAAACTGCTGTTCACATACCAGCGACTGAGTCAGAGAGACAGAATTATTATTTTCAACCTGGGACACATTTTCCATAATGATGTTTGATTGGGTTCAAATATTTGGCACATCCCCGCAGACTGAAAGCGCTCACCAAAATTGAGCTTGCTTTGGCCCTTGACTGTGTGTCGGTCAGCAGCGCCTCTGTCAAACTGGATCAAGTCAGGGATGAGCGTAGAGACCCCAACCTTCGTTGTTTGTTCTCCTTCATGCATCCCTTTAACGCCTGTATGGTGTAGAACGAACTTAGAAACACTTGACATCATAGACAAAAATCTATTTTAAAAGAATTTGCATAAGAACCACAGAGTCATTTTGAATGTTGACAAAACTTTTTACAATTTCTTTTAGTTTTTTTAATTAGAAGAAAAAAACGACTGAATTCATCTCCAACAGTTGAACAGTTCACAGATTTCTGCAAGAAACGACTGCTTGCCAAAAACCCACAGCGCTCGATATCAGACAGTCAGCTGCAGCAGAAGTTGCCGTTTGCCAGCAGTAGGCTCACTACACAGTTTATAAAGGCAGCAGGCACAGTTTAAAAAAGCTGCAGGTCTGTGCTGGGCACAAACACACTGACACTGGAACAATTAGAAGCAATTTATAAGAAAACTAGAATGGCGCTCGGGAGAGAGCGGACCGTGGTGTGTTCACATGCTCCTCGGATGGTCACATCTCCCGAGTTGAGAAGTCGTTCTTCTGATTTCCGCGTGTTCTTGAGCTTTAAGTGGTAATGTGGAAACAACATAACCGCTACGAAGACAATGTGTTGTATTTTAATTCTTAAACAACACGTTTTAAGTTGTTTCTACTTGAAATGACATTCACATGAATTTTCCCCATTGCTAATTAATTTCTAAGATTATTCTGACACCACATGAATGCAGCACAAATGCCCTATCTCGCAGTGTTACGTAATTAAAGTGAATCATAATGTGTTTACCTGCGCTGAATCTTTTAGTGGTACGGAGTACTGGACTGTACCGGCCTGTTTTCATCCCAGAATCAAGCATCGTCATGGTGAAAATTATAAAAAATACGACATTGTTTGAAAATACCAAGAATTATCCTTTGAAATCCTGACTGAATGTTGATTAAAGTCCACCTCGTGAATTGATCTGACCTCATCCTGGCAACTAACACTTCCTGTCCATGAAAATCAATCTCCAAATGTCAGTGACTCCTTGTTGATGTAGCAGAACAGATGTGATAGTTGTGCTGTTATTATACATACTTAAATTGGACATACTGTAATCACTTTAATTACTTAATTAAAGCTGCACCCGGTGATCTTGACCACTAGGGTGCAGAGACAAACAGAAACAAGGTTTGCCGTTGTGTATTTAGTTGCGTGACTGCGAGCAGCATTATTATCCCTCTGAAGTTGGATTTCTAGTTATCTGATGAATTTAAATCGAATATTTACTGACCTTTTAGCTGTAGTTTGGTTTAACAACTCCTGAGTAAATACTGTATCTGCACATATACGTCTCTCCACCAGGCCTGACACTATCTTTTCTTAAGTGCTTGTCGTGTGTTTCATGGTTTCATTTGTTATGAAGTCGGAATTCTATCGCACGGACCAGCAAACCAAACATAACAACCACTTCTTCACATTACATTCCAGTCCTTTGCTTCAATCATACATTTCTAAATGCAGGTTTCAAATGTTGAACACACGAGAATGTAGATCATAATTAATTTATGTTTTTTTTATGTTTGTGCATAACGTAATCAGCTGTGGGAAAATGTTGCTACATAATACATAATACGAGAACTATATAAAATGTTTACTTTTTTCGAATGGTCGATCAATTCACCCCAATTACTTTTACTGCTTTTTACAGAGGAAATAGTTGCTATGAAAACTGCTGATGTGAAAATTGCTATTGACTTTGTTTTGTTTTGTTTTGATGCCGTGAGCGTCACAAACGCAATTCAAATTCCATTCACTTCTATTGTATTGGGGTGGAAGCAAAAATCTTTCAATCGTATCTTTCGATCTGGGCAATTAAAACCCAGATATTAGGATATTCATCTGCATGGCTGAATGAAACTAGAGGAAAGTTAGAAAATATGTTTATTTAGTATTTGTGTGAACTGACCCTTTAAATGTTGTATCACATTGTTCTTTCTGTAAATACCTCTACTGCTCGCTCTGAAGAGGGACTCAATGCGAGGTTGTTCCACCTGATATTGTTGTTCCCCAAGCAGCTTTGAATATCACTGAAGACATTTATTGACGTCTTGTTGAATTTTTTTCACCAGGGTCCTCCAGGATCTCAGCCCTCCCCTCACACGCAGCCCCCCCCACACAACCCCAGTAATCCCATGATGGGACCTCACGGACAGGTAAGACGTAAACATTGACACTCTTTTCTCCGCTGCTGTGTATTAGTTCCCTCTCTAAGCCCACTCGCACTTTCTCACTATTACTCACTCACTCACTCGTTCACTCACTCACAACCACAGCAGTATAAAACCAGCACGCAGGTCGCTTGTTGTGCTGGCAGACAGGACATGGCAGCATCCACGATGGTGGGTTGGATGAATAATTTAGCTGTGTTGGCCCCGCTGTAAGGAGCGGAGGTGCATCTGGAGGGCCTTCGCTCTCCCCCAGCCCAGCACTCACCATCCCATAGTCCATCAATAGACCATTAATATTGCAGCACAGCCTGACACAGTGCAGCTCTCCGTGCACAAACCCACCACAACATGGTCAAAGGAGGAGCGGAGAGGAGGAGAAGGTAGACAGGAAAGTGGAGGAGGAGGAAGGAGGGAAGAGGGTTAAAAAGAAAACAGTAGTAAGTCAGTCCTCGCCTCAAGGGCTAAATGAGATTATATAATTCGTCCTCTGCCTGCCCCCAAACACACACACACATGACGACACACAAAAACATACAGCACATAATTACCATTGAGAGCCAGTCTCCTGTTATATTTGTGTTGTCTGTGCTTATCTCTGTGTGAAAACGATGATGTGAACATTATTCTGCTCATGCTCCGTGACCAAAACACACAACTCTCACCCAATCGGCATTCAAATCTGCATGTTTCCCCTCGATACTAAAATAGTTGGATTAATTCTTCTCATCTGACGCTGACATATGGCTCACTGGATGTTGGTATTTGTAGTTGCAGCAGCGTAGCTCTCATAGGTAATTCTGAAAACCATCTGTCTGGGGTGCGTTACATTATTCACTAGTTGTGCGCTGGGCTGTGTGTGTGTGTGTGTGTCTCGGCCAGCATGCTCTCTGCTGAGGCATCTATGTGGAATGGTGCATTCCCTCTCGGTTATGAATCACACCATCCCGACTGCATTATTGTAGCTCTGGTGTTTGGTGATGCAGACACGGTGACAGAAATGTCCGGCACAAGTGCAGCTGCACAAAACAGACAAAACATTAAGATGTAGAACGCCTCTTCCTCTGCTCGTACGGCTTCATCCTCCCTTCCAACGATGTCATGTTCTTTTCTGTTCCACCTCCTTCTTGGCCGTCCTGTTCCTCCAGTCCAGGTTTCTGTCCCACATGTTTTCTCCCTCGCTCTTATCTTATCCTCCTTTACCTTTATCCTAATGGATTTTACCACCTGAGGTCTTACTTTACAAAACTTAATGACACGCCCCTCTTTCTTGGTGAAGGGAACAGAGCTGCTACAGAACATTATTCTTCAACACAATAGCTCCCCCTGCTGACATAAAGATAACACCTCCACATTGTTCAGGTTTACTGAGCCTTTTGTGCATCGTTTCACTGCCTACGTGCGAGTGTTATTTAGGTTTGTCCGTTACAGGTAAACTTTGTTACTATCTTTATGTAGAAAGGAGAACAGATTTGCCCAGATATACTAAGGGAGTTTGTTTAATTAAAGCTGATTGTAAAGATATTATCATAATGTTGGGGTTATTAGTCTGTAGAGATCTGCACTTAAAAATACAATTGTATTTTTTGACCCTTATTTAACCAGATAAAATCTCTTTTGCGATGGAAATCTGGCTAAGAAGGCAGCAAAGTTAAACCTTGAGTTTGTCATTTCATACATAGAATAAAACAAATTACAGAGTAAAAACTTCAGTCCATGCATCCACAGAACCTTGAACCTTAAAGCCGAGCCATTTATTGGACCTAAGACAAACTTAGCGCCTAACGTTCATGGGTAAACTATGAAGGCATTAAGATATATCAATGCTCCATCATGCACATGTGTGCAGTGATGAGTCCTCTAGCCGGAGTTTGAAATATATCTCAAAGCAGCACGATAAAGAAACGCACAAAAAAAAATGAACACCATCTTAAAAACCAAACAAACAGTAGACCAACCAGATTTATGGATGTGCAGTTGTTAAGCTGAATATGACGTTTGCTGAGCTGATCATGACAACGGCACGCACACTGTGATGGTTTGTGTATTTTGCAATTCATGCATCGTTTCATCTCCATCCATGTTGTCACAAACCGGGCCGAACGGCCATGACAAAAAAGGGAGACGCATTCAATGAACAGTTGATTAATTATTTATTAAGTTTAAAGTAATATATAAGACAAACATAAACTGACAGTGACATGTGAATTCAGTCATTTCAGCAGTGTGAGTGAGTGGGTGCGTGTAAAGTGTATATGCAGTGTTGTATAGTGTAGAAACAAACCGAAGCCAAAGTGGGTGTCTCAGGAAGGAGCGAGAGCCAACTGAAGATCCAGAGGGTTTTTGTACCGAGTGCTCTGGCACACAGGGCCAGTGTTGCAAATGGCCTCAGGTGCTTCCACTCTGCCTGACGACCCTCTGCCACACCCACTTCCACACCTGCAAGGAAGGCAGCCAAACGAACAGGCAGAGAGGGTCGTCACAATGTCATTAGAAATCTGTTTAATTGCTTCGGCTGCATTCGTTTTATCTTGTTAAAGGTTGTGTAAAACAGCACCTTGATTAATTCTTCATGATGAACCTAACATTATTGTCTCTGTCATTGAATCCATTGATTTTTAGAATTTAAATTAGAAGCTAGATTTCATGCTAATCAATGAAATGTGTTGTACACTCTATCTTAGAGTTGTTGGAATTGCACTTGAGTAAAACAAGGTCACGGACAAAGTTATTCGTGATATTTTAAAGCCCATCTATCAAGAATTCGAACAAGCATTCCTCTCTTGATCATCCTGAAATAAAGTAATTGTAATGTCCTTCTCGCGTCTGTCCTGCAGCCATTCATGTCTCCACGGTACCCAGGCGGCCCAAGGCCCGCCCTCCGTATGCCAAATCAGCCTCCTGGGAGCATCCCCGGGTCACAGCCTCTCCTACCAAACAGCCTGGACCCCACCAGACCTCAAGGTATTGACAAAGGCGTGGTGTTATTTCAGAGCGGCTGCGCTTTGCAGAGTAATCTCATATTGGCTTCTGAATTCAGAAGCTCATTTTATGGAATTGTTATTGATCCAAACGGCGCTGCCATTCTAACAAGCTGCACTCTTGTGTTTCACCACAGGACATCCAAACATGGGAGGTCCAATGAGAATGAATCCCCCGCGAGGCATGGGGGGCATGGGCCCACAGGTAGGCACCAGCGACATTACTCCATCACTCGTGCAGAATAAAACACAAAGGATTGCGTTAATAAAGTCATGACAGTGGGTGGTGTCCTACAGCACCACCAGCCCACTGCACACCCACTCTGCAGCTGCCATACAGCCAGATTTGGTGCTTGGGACTGTCGGTTTATGAACAAACCCAATGTTTGGTTGCCCTTCATTAAAAGCTACCATAAAAACGGCTATAATGTCAAACCAGCATCCTATAAACGGCATGCAGATAATCCATTCTTCTTTGCTAAGAGACATTTTAGTTCTGCCAGCCTCGTAACTTTGCGTTTTAAATGTCAGAAGTGCTCAGATGATTAGCTTGGCCCTGACCAGAGCTCACCCACTGCCGGCGCCAGTTCTACATGTTAAATCCTACTTACCGACTCCCACCTAGGAAGACCACCCCTGAGCAAGCAGCCACCAACACATTTTGACCAAAAAAAAGAAACAATGGTGCCAACTTTGGTTTTCCTTTGATCACTTTAATTTCCGATGTGATCCCGTGTAAAACATAAGATGCTGAACAAACAGTGTCCTTTTGAATTACCGCTACCAAACAGCTGCTTCATTCTGCAACCCAACCACCTCCCGCTCCAACATCACCTCACACAAAGACACACACACACACAAACACACTCTCTCCCCGTGCCCCTCGGCCCCTCTCTGTGCCACCCTGGCTCGGTGACTTTGGCAGTGAACGCACCAGCAGCTGGTGTGGCATCTGCTCGACAAGTGTAATCGTCTGCTGAACAAAACTCTTCCTCTGAGAGGAGCTGCTCTCTGGCCTTCCCCACTACTCTCTCTCTCTCTCTCTCTCTCTCTCTCTCTCTCTCTCTCTCTCTCATTTACACACACACACACAACTACACACATGTAGCACGAGCCAAACTCGCCTGCCGGGCAGCCATGAAAACATACACGCAAGCACACAGAGGGGAGCGTGGACACAGAGAGGAGGAGACACGCAACGTACAGATGGACACAAACACACTCACACACAGCTGTCCTCTTCTCACACACAGCCCGTACATCACATAATTAAAGACTAGTTAGGGGGAGACATGATGGTCGCTGACCTTCATTAGGATTCAAACCTTTAGACGGAGCAGGTGTGAGATGCCGTGCTGACTGTGTGCTCCTCTCTTTGTGCAGAACTACGGCGGAGGAATGAGGCCTCCTCCTAACTCCATGGGGCCAGGGATGCCGGGCATGAACATGTTAGTAGATTGGAAAATAACTTTTTAATGTTTGTGAATTCTGCCGCCAATTACGGTCTTGTTTAACCGTTGTTGCGAGCAGTTAGGAGAACAGTTTTCTCACAACTACAGTGAGTATGGTACGACAGACTTGAACTTGCTGCAGCATTTGGTGTTGTTCATTCGTTCATTTGGACTAATTTGTTCCTAGATTTCAGCATAACATAGGAAAAAGATAATTACTGTCACCAACATGTTGTGGAAATCTTACTTCCCCTGTAATAAAAATGCCATTAAGTGGAATTGACTGTATCACACCTCTGAAATTAGCAGAGGTGGATGAAGTCCAAAGATCTTTTACTTAACTAAAAGTAGCAACACCACAGAGTAGAAATATGCTGTCTTCAATAAAAGTCCTGCATAAAAAAGTAGTAGCATCAATATATACTTAAAGTAAAATTATCATCATGCAAAATGGCCTATTTCAAAATAATGTATATTATTAATCAATAATAATAATAATGCATCATAATTATATTTTGTATAATTAATCTCAATCTCTAAAGTAGCTAGTAACTGATGCTGTCGGATAAATGAAGTGGAGTAAAAGTACCATATTGTATCTGAAATGTAGTGGAGCATAGTGGAAATACTCAAGTAAAGTACCTCCAAATTGTACTTAAGTACAGTACTTGAGTAAATGGACATATAGGATACATCACAATGTAAAAACCCTTCATTGACAGGTAATATTTTCAGAAGGATATTATATTGGTGTTTGTGAATGAGTGCCTACTACAGTTAGGCTCGGTTACACCAATACAGATACACATTTAAACCCAATCTAAATGACCACACATTAAAAATTCCTTAACATTAAGGAAGATCAAATTTAAACATGTATTTAAATGTCAGTTTATATTTTACTCTCAACCTAGATTGAATTTAATTCTGTTGCACCAGAATTTAAACAATTTTAACCTACAATTGAGGAGGTTTAACGTTTAAAATGGCTAAAATAGATGAATTAAGCAAAATGTTCAAGTTCCTCGGAGAAAGTTACGGGGCAGATTCAACCAAGATGAGTTTTTTGATGCTGCAAGATAACGATTCAGCAAGGAATCTGTTATCTCTCTTTTCCTTGCTGTTTTTATATTCTCTTATTTGGCCATATTGCTCCATTAATTCGGCCAACAATTTCTTCTCAAATGAGTCTAAATTAGAGATTCTCTGCAAAGCCATCATGAGTAACATTGTGCCAACTAACTGACTTTTTAAGCCAGCTAGCTAGAAAACAATGTAACATTTTGTTAAGGAATCCTCCCTTTCTTTTATGGCATACATACTAAGTCTTAACAGCAGGCGCATGTGTTCATGTATTCATTTTAAGTTGTGCAAGCAAGCATCACATTGATTAAACTCTAAACCTGGATTTACTAAACTGAGATTCGTTTTTAATTGTGCAACAGAGCTCTGCATCATTTTGAATCTGGATTCATTCATTGTAATGCAAGTTTTGTTAAACTCTGATTAGAATAATTTTAGATTAACTTAATCCTTGCCGGTGCAACCCGGCCTTACAGAGCTGTGTACCATACTTTGAAATATGTGCTGCCATGATGCACCTACAAAATCATCACACGTAACATGATGCATGCAACTTTGCTGTGTGCCAGAAATCTTCTATTAAATATATTTCTCTCTGTCTGCGTCTCCAGGGGTCCTGGTGGAAGAGGTCCGTGGCCGAACCCCAACACCAACTCAGTGAGTCACACTCTCTTACATCTTCGTCTCCGACATGACTGAGTGTGTTTACAATAACTGTGACTCGTGTTTTGTTTCACCTCGGGTCTATTCTTTCCACAGATAGCTTATTCATCTTCATCTCCAGGCAACTATGTGGTAAGTGTCCCGTCATGGACTCGTGTTCGACCACGGGCCATAAATTACCTGTCATGCGGTGATATCTAACAGGCATACTGCCATCTAAATGCACTCAGAACTCATTTCTCGTTTGCTCTCGCTTCTTTCGCCCCTCAGGGCCCTCCAGGGGGAGGCGGCCCACCAGGAACTCCTATCATGCCAAGCCCCGGAGGTGAGTTATACGCGTCAGTTTCCCTTCTGGTTTCTACTTTTATCCAGCGTTCACTGAACACGGCCTCTGTCTAACAAACATGAAACCATTCACATCTCTCTTCGGCAGAGACAGGCAGTGATAGCCCCCTAAATACTTAAGGAATGAAATCTTTAGGAATGATTTTCTAAGAGTACAATATTGTTAAACTGGTTGGATATATCTGATGCATGCGTGATGATGATTTGGTCGGGTATCATGTTTGTTATCAGTCCTTTCTAGTTTAGGCACATTCTGGAAATGATTCCAGTGCCGTTAGATGTGTTCTGTCATTGTGGCGACAGCTGAATAAAAGGGAAGCGGAGGCACGTCAGTCTGCAATCAAACGCGCGATCCATCTCAGCTTTGACCCATCAATCTAGTGTCTCTGTGGAGGATTAGCGGAGAACAAAACACTGTGGGCTGATATCCTGTGGATGTTCTGTTTCTGCCAGCCTGTGGAGAGCTTCTTTTTGTGTCCACTATTTATTATTTATATACGTTCCTCTATTGTGATACGTTGCCGGGGCAACCTTTTTGCACAAAATGCTCCTGCTCACACATACACCGGCAGGGGAAACATATTTCCACTGCAGTCGCCAAGACTGTACGCGTGCGCACACACGCACACGCACACGCACACGCACACACACACAAACCTCCCACAAAAATGAACACCTCCCACTCAGTATTGCCCCCCTCCTCCAGTCACGACAGCACAAGCTAGATTCAGGGACACTAACAGGCAAGATCTCTCCGCCACTTTGCACATACTGTATCCATCTCCTCCCCTATCTTTCAATCTGGTATTTCTTTTTTTCTTCCACTCGCAACTTTCTGCCTGTAATGTCAGATCAAGGTGACCTCATCCTCAAGGTGACAAACGAGGACCGACACAGCATGCATTGGGTGTCCATAAAATAACTTCTAATCTCCTGATTGTAGGAATAAGATTGAATTGGGTTCTTTTTTCATTGTACATTGCAGTGTGCAGCGTCTAGATTGATTGACAGACTGATTCACTGACAATATGTACTGGCACTTAAAGTAACACACTGGTGGTCCTCGTCCTGTGCAGCTGAAGTAAGGACATGTCTGGGCTCTAGCTGACTGAATTGTACAAATGGCAGAATTAAAGTGAAACATTGTCAAATACAGTGAAAGACAATGCCACTCCAGCCGTTTCTGTGCAGGTTAGTTCGTTATTTTCCATTCATTACCCCAAACCCACCTTATTTTTTGACATTTACAACAGTTGGATATAAGAACAGACAGAGGTAATAGTGCAAGGGTCTCAAACTGCTTTACAGTATTCTGATTTGAAATATCATTGTTATCATAGATTCGACAAACTCAAGTGAAAACATCTACACAATGATGAACCCTATCGGCCCTGGTGGAAATAGACCTAATGTAAGTAATCTCATTTTGTTCAATTTTGAATTGCAGTTAAATGTACAGTGTGTAGGATGTGGTGGAATTTGGCGGTGTGGTTGCAGAGTGCGTAAACACAATTCTTAGTTTCAGCTGCTTCTGTACTGATGACAACATAGTTGTGAATGTTGTATTCCATTTCTGCTAATAGAGCTCAACAGTGAGGTTCTGGAAGTGAAAATCCCCTTCGTAATAATTATACGCCATAATGGCGTAACCATCCATGTTCGACTTACCTTGAGCCATGAGATTGTGAAATGATGGTACATTCTCCTGCAGAAGACACAATATGATATCAACCTTGTTTTAAGAAAAGAACACGTTCTATTTGCAATGCCATGGAGATGTACTACACTACCCACAATCCTAAAGTGTAACAGCAATGTCCCTGATTGGTGGAGCTCACTGTTACCATGGAAATGTTTACAGCAGTGAGGGTACGAGCTCGGACATGCTGCCCTGTGGTCTGCTCCCGGATCTCCAACCGGGCCAGCACGACGGCTCGTTTGGAAACGTTCTCTTATATTACAGAGATAGTTCACTGAAATGTGTTTCTGACAAAAGCCAAGCAGTTACTGAATCTGTCCACATTTTTAAAAAAACATTTAGATGAAATGTTTTTCGTGAGTTTCAGCTTCCAGATTCAGCGAGGCCGCATATGCAATAGTTTATGGGATGAGTAGTTCCTTCACTCTTAAAGTAATCATAAACACAAGACTTGTACCTTTGCCTTTCCGTTTAAAAATTTTTTTTTTTTGCTGCGGATCAAATGTTTTAGGGCCACGATTCATCTCAAAGTTGGTTGGATAGTTCCATGCCTAAAACTTTTAATACAAGAATTTTCTGAAATGTAAATGGAGTGAATGAGTGGGCGGTCACGTTTGAGCTCTACACTGGCCCTTTAATGAATTTCACACGGATGTATTTGTCTAATCTACTCCACTGCCATGCTCCCCAAGCAGGGAAAGAGCAAGATAACTAACCTTCGTACGTCTGTCTTTAGTTCCCAATGGGACCGGGTCCTGACGGGCCCATGGGTGGAATGGGTGCTATGGAGCAGCATCATATGAACGGATCACTAGGTGAGTAGCCAAACACAATGCACAGTGTATGCAGCATGTACTTGCTATAAGCTCCTGAGTATATCCAGTGAAACCCGTTACTCTCCGTGAACAAAGGCCTTTAGAAGTGAGAGTCTGCCCTCTCATGGCTGGTAGAGGAAGTGTTCTCCCTCCCCCTGGTATTGATCCCAGTTAAAACAGATTAGTGGGGCAGTGAGTAGGCCAATTGATCCTGCAGATGGGTGAGACATGATCAGTGAAGCCAGTGAGTTGTTGCTCATCTGTGTCTGAAACAAATAGCTTAATTAAAGGCCATTTCTTGTGAGAGGGCAGGTTGTTTCTACTTGCACTGGATATCCTGAACTCGTGTTGAATTAGCAGCAGGAACGCTGAGGATCACTTGACAGTTACCTGATAATGATTCAGGTTTCTCCTTTTTCCATTTCTGATCACAGGCTCTGGTGACATGGATGGGTTGCCAAAGGTAAGAGTGACCGACTCTCTGTCCATCTATCTGTCTGTCTGTCTATCAGAGGGCTGTGTTCTTACCGTTTCTTTTTTATCTGTGTTGCAGAATTCTCCCAACAACATGGCAGGCATGAACAATCCTCCCGGCACTCCGCGGGATGACGGCGAGATGGCAGGCAACTTTTTAAACCCATTCCAAAGTGAAAGTGTGAGTATACACAGAGACAACATACCTTTGAAGCTGGGAACAAACTGCAAGACTTTAGATAATCCTATTCAATTGTAATAAGGCATAAAATCGCATATTTAAATAACTTGTTTTAGATTACAGTCATACCTGCACAGATCTCCACTGGTAACTTGATCAAACAGCAGGATCATATTTTGATTTGGACAGTCACAAAAACTGAATATATTTAATACAATTGCTCCATCTGGTCTGAGACTCAATCAAGGGTTACGGAATTTAAATGCTGTGTGCTAATTCTCCAAGGTGACCTGTGGCTGGTTACACAAAAATAGACTGACTTTGACTAGGTCAAACTAATAGTCACACTTCAGATTACTTCAGACTGATTCTTAAGACTATTAGGGCCATGAAGAAGGGAAATAATGCTATTTTGCATTTCAAGTTGAAGTGTTGCATTTTGAGAAAGATGAAATGTTGAGAATAAAGTTGAAATACTATTCAAGAATATGGATAAAATCTTGAGAATAAACGTCAAACATACAAGAATAAATATACTAAATAAACTACCGGAGTTAGTGCATATAGTGAAATTTTGACTTGCAAAACATGGCCCTAATATTCTCTCGTAATTTCTTGGCTGTCTTGGCGGACTTCACACTAGAAAAAGACGAGTGTCACCCCAGTGCAGACATGTGGTAGAGCTCAGATGCTGTGGCTTCTTGTGGAGCTCTCAGCTCAGTCCTTGCTTCACCAACACATCAGATGTCCTCACTGCAGTACATTTCTGTAAAAACTTTCCCTTCTTATTATTCGCCGCACAGCAATGCTAACAAACTACAAAATATGAGCCTGTCTTTTTTTGTCTTATTATAGAGTCTTATTTCTGAGTTAGCCTGTGGGTAGGTCAGTTGGTGGTACTATCAAACTTAAACAAAAAAATCAAGACTTCCCTAACTTCAGACTAGTCTAAAATACCTTTGTGAAACCTGCCCCGGGTCTATTTCGACCTTAAAACCAGTCCTCATGGCTAAATGGAGCCCAATAATCGATCCTTTAAGTTGTGCTCAGTTTTCCCAGCTTTACCCGACACACACAAAAACACAGCATGCACAAACACAAGCATGGGAAAGAACCACATCATATGCTTTCTCTGATGCATGGAGAGATCGTCATAGAGTGATAATGAAACTGACGTTTTGCTACAGTATCTTCACTGTGTTCTGAAATTCCCTAACACCTTCTCCTTGGGCTGGACTCTGCTTTGCTTGCTGCTGGTCTCCTGACTTAGAGAGGGTTAATGGTTATGTGTAATGCTGCAAGAGGCTGGAGAACTGGACATGGCATTTAGTTTAGTTAGTTGTATTGCTTTCATCTTGAACTGGGTAGTATATTAAGTTCAATATAGATTTGGCTTATCTTTTCTCCCCTCCCTCTCTTTTTTCTCTCTTTACAGTATTCACCCAACATGACGATGAGTGTGTGATTTCTTTTTTTTTTTTTTTTGATTTTATTTTATCTTTTATTTTATTTCTTTTTCATCTCCCCTTATCCCAATCTCCCTCTCCCATCCACCCCGGTGCGTCTTGCATTACCCTCCTCTCCCCCTTCCTTCCTCCTCCTCCTCCTCCTCGTGGACGGTGTGCTGTGCCACACAGCCCCATGGGATGCACCTGGAAAGCAGGACTCCCCTCAAGGCCCCTCATCCCAACGCCTGTAAAATGGGTTTAAGAACATGAAAAGGCCTCCAAGCAACAGGAAGGGTCTCTTCGCAGCTTCTTCTTCACCTGCCGGGCCTCGACACGGGCCCTAGGACAGTAAGAGCCCGAAACTGCTCCAAGCCTGTCTCTCCCAAACCCAAAACCTGCCCTCATGGGGGCATTCAAGCCCAAACAAGATGCCGCGCTGCATCTACCACCACTCCATCATATCACGCTGATCATAATTTATGAGGGCACGCAGTTGTTGACTGACAGGGGCCGAATACCCTCATTCAAAAACTCCTGTGTCAGGAATGATTAAAAAAAAAAATAAAAATAAAAAAAAAAGAACTGATAATGTTATTCTAGGGCAAGAATTAAATGTTTGTATTTTTTGTTGTTGATGGTAATATTATTGTTATAATTTTCATAATTGATATTATTCTACTAATGTAGTTATGTTTTCCTGTAAAGGGCACATTTTATCTCAGCAGCAGCATCAACAATGACGGAATAAGCACACACTCAAACAATGCACAATCATTTTCTGTTTACATGATTTTAGGTTATTTGTTTGTCTTGTTTTTTCTTTGTCACAGTCTCTCACTTCACATACCTCTCCTTAAAACTTCTTCTGGGCTCGTAGCTTGAGTCTTTGCCATCTTAATGTTTGTAGCCCCATTCGTATACATGTTCAAAGTATCGGTGATCGGGATAATTAACTCTCTCATCTAATAGTTTACTATCTCGGCTAAAACTATAAATACAGTTAAAGCAGAGGCTTTCTCAGAGCGCTGCTGTTTTCTGGTACAAAGTGTCTGCTCATGCACCTCGATGATCCTATGTCTAGCTATCTTGCCTTAATAAGCACCCCTTCTCACAGTCTTCTATGTTTTACTGCATGGGAATTGCTCTGAGGTGCCAGTTTCCATTCAGTAACAGGCAGAGCAAGAGAGCATCTCTTCTATGGATTTGGTCTTGTCTGTAAATACAACATATTTAGCTTGTATTGTGGTTGTTTTATTATTTGTTATTTACAAGTTGTCTGTGGTTCCTACCCTTCCATCACCTTGTTTTGATTTCAACCTCACTGTGGACTCCAAGTGGAACTGTTTTCCTCCCAGGGTTCATTCTGGTCTCTCGCCAATGTCTCCTGTTTTTGGGGGACACAAAGATACACTCACGAAGCCGGCTTTCTTGCTTGGAGTTTGGGGTGAACTCACAGATTCTGTATGATCCACTTTCTTAACCCAGACAAGACGGGCTAAATAACTGGCTCCCAATCGACCAGTTCCCTCAACGAGCCCCAATGCGTACGGGATAATGGATCCAGAGTATTGGGAGGACGTAGCAGCGCTGATGACGGGAGCAGAGTGATGCACCTTGGGGTTAACCGACCATGCAGCCACATCGGTCTGAAGACGAGGAACAATACCGGGACACTTTTGTAATGGATTTATTTCCATTATTTGTGGATTGTTTTCAGCATATTATTTTTATTTGAAGTGTACTGAGAAAATGAAAGCCCGTAGAATCTGCACACAAAGAAAAGCATAGTTACATATTACGCTATTTAATTTGTTTCTTTCTGTATGTTATGTGCCCTTGGCCTGATCAACTCTCTGTCACTGCTTTCAAAGGGATACATTATCTCTCAAGGCATCACACTGCAGCAACTTACGTCATGGCTGTGTTCAAACCGACAATAACTAAACAACCGTTGTAGCCTCTATGGGTGATGGTGACGTACTCGTCAATTTTCTGATATCAATGTGAACAGATTGTACCCAGAGTTCAACAGGGACAGCTCCAGGATTTGGCTATTGGTGGCCTGGGAAACACTCCATGTGTAGTGACACACACCTCCCTTCTTTCCTCCAGTCCCATCCCTCACCTCTCCCCAAAAATGTCTCCCCTCCCTTCTCTTTAATTTCCTGTTTTGTAAATACTGTATAATGCATTTTGATATCATTGACATGTTTTGATATGTCAGTCACTACCAATGAATACAGCTGAAAGTAAATTATAAATAAAACTGTCCATGTTTTTTTCATAGAGAAAGGATGCGCTGACTATTTGGCTCATGTGGCTAAATTTCCATAAAAATGTATAGAATACAGTAACACAATAAATGCAGACTGTATGCTGAAGACTTGTATGGTGGGGAGGATAGGACAGAGAGAGGACAGGACAGAGAGAAGCAGACAAGCTGTGGCGTCCTCACTCTGCCCTCGTCTCCTTGTGTTTCAGTTGAATGTTACTATTGGCTTTGAATAATCATTTGAATCATTTTTCCAAAGGGCATCTTCTCACAAAAAAAACATGTGACCTCTTATTGCAGTTTTTAATATGAAGGATTTTTATCAATTTAAGAAAACTTTTAAAAAGGTAAAAATACTTAAGAGAACCTCATTTTAAATTAAGACTAGATCAAAAAGTAACTGTGTCCTTTGCTATTCGCTCCTGTTATAGCGTTGTATAGATCGAAGCTCTCTCACTGATCCTCTCTCAGTCCTCTGTGTATATCGATCGTTGGCCATCTCTGTACTTCTATTGTGATGTATAATACTGTACCATTAGGAAGAGTTGCTGGTTGGGCGGGGTGGTTATGTTGAGTCGGGGAGGGGTGGGGGATTCAAGGGAAGGGGATATAAATGATTCTCCTGTACCATTCATGGTCCTTTCTGATGACACGGCAGTATTCAATATGAAGCAGTCTGTCTCTTGGGTTTGCTTTGTATTTTCATGGTAGGATAGTTCAGAATCTTGTCTTAGGGACTTAGGTGTCTTGTGTAGGTAATAAAGATGTTCTTTGTATGTTTCTTTATATTGTAAAGTTTCTTTAGACTGAAAGAAAAACAGATAATTTGCTTATCAAAAAAGAAACAATGCATCAATAATAAATGTCATTTGATTTTTCCTTGCTGTTTGAATCTCTTCCTCTCAGCTCTCATTTAGCTTTTAACCATTTTGCAGTACAAAAGGAGAAGTTATATACAGTGTAGGAAAAGATCACATAAACATTTTTTGTACATTTTTTTGAAATTTTAATATGTTAATATTAAAAACACCCCAGTCAAAATTTGGAAAGTTAAATAACTTGCTATATTTTTATTTTTCATTAGTTAGGATGAAATTAATTACCTTTCAAATCAAATTATGATTAAATAAACTTAAAAATGACCTAAAAAATGATTATAAAAGTTCCCTGGTTTAACTTTTAACAGCTCTATAATATGCACTTTTTTGCCTTAACCTGTGCACACACCTCTCATAAAGATTGATGATTTTGAATTTGCACACAACATATCACGGCTCCAATTAAGCAAGAAACCAGAGAATTATAAAGTCCTGCTGAGTACATCCAGGAGCTACAATAATGCCATTGTTAGTGGGATAACAGCAATTGAATGCTTCTTAAAATAATTTTACTAATGGTTCTACTTACATACTTATTAGAAATATACACCTTGTGAAATATATGTTTGTACTATTTCTGAATTATAAATAGCACTCATGAATCGGCAGCGGATATAGTCACACTCAGTCAAATAAGCCTACATTTTGAATTGTATGCTTATAAGATTAGTACAAAAGTGGACATGTTTTTCGTTTTTATGCATGAAAAGGCCCAATATAAGTACAGCAGCTCAAGGTTAACAGGAAGCAGTTTGTTGGGATGAGCTCGAGACTGCATCGAAGTCAGTTTCATGTTGTATTCAGCAGCACATACGAGTGCCACGGGTCTCGGGTTACCCAACAGCAAACTGACTTCATCATTATAAAGTGGAGGAGAGATATTGACCAGGACCAAAACAAGGCTCTGCATAGACAGTGCTTGAAGGTAAGGTGTAATTTACTATGTTAAAAAGGTTTATCGCATATGACGTAAGCAGTGGTTCCTTGCAAGACAAGATACAACCAGTCACTTAATGTCTACCAACATTAGCTAGCTATGCTACATAGCAATAGCAAACTAGCATTAGCTGTAATCTCGCTATGCTACATAGCTAGCGAGATTACAGCTAATGCTAGTTTGCTATTGTCAACTTCCTCGGCTACTGTAGGTTAGCATTAGCCTGCTAGCCGCTTGAAGAGATAGCTGAAGGCTATAAATTATTTCGAAACTTCTGGAAACGTGTGGCTAGCTTGGCTACTGCTAATCAAAATATAACGTTACTGTTGTAGCAAAACAGTAAACAGGTGAGTTTAAATTGTGACTTTGTTGAAAATTAGTTATTAATTGTTAGCTAGCGACTCATTACTGGATGATTTTGGCAGTCGTTTTATTTTAAACCTTAACCTTAAATGCTGCGGCTCACTGATGTAGCTAATATACCAGCAGTTGAATCTTTTACGGTTTTGGGGACAAACGGCTAAGAAGTCAATAAAGTTTTTTTTTTTTAATTGTTAACCTCCTTCCTCATAGTACTCTACGAATGACTGAAAAAGAAGAGATCATGGACGCCAGTGCGCCGTCAGTGAAGAAGAATGGACGAACCTCGTTGCTGGACAGCGGAGAGGACTTTGAAGTTTTAGATGAAGAAGACGTTGACGACGACCCTCCTCCTCCTCTGGAAGATGCCGGCGGTGGGAAGGGGAAAACCATGGACGAGTCCGAAAAGAAAAATGCAGACTCAGATTCAGACCCTCCAGGTCCGGTGGAAGAATGGATGGATGTATTGGGTATGTAACAAAAAGCCCCATTGTAACATGTCAGATTGTAGCAGAATATAATCCCGTAGAAGGTGTTTTAGTAGGTTATAAATTAACATTGATGGCCAGCCCCCTCCTCTGCAACACAGAGCCCAAGGTGTTGTGGTTGCTCCACAATGGCAGCGATACTGCCAATGAATACTGTAGCTGACCGGAATTAACGTGACTGTTTGTGTCTCCAGGTAATGACCAGCTGAAGAAAAAAGTCCTGGAGGCAGGGGAAGGGCGAGACAGTCGGCCACAGAAAGGACAAAATGTAAAGATCAATCTTAAAACGTACTTGAAGGACGGGACACTCGTAGAGGAGCAGCCTGGCCTCTCTTTCACTCTCGGAGATGGAGATGTCGTCCAGGTAATAACTGACAATTTGATGTACTTTTCAAAAGGCAAAATAGAGTGATTTCACAGTCTCACAACAGGTTATGTATCATTTGCTTCATCCTACTGACAGCAGTTGGTGTTGCATTGTACATGTCATATCTCACTGGATGAGATTTTTTTCCTTTCAGGCTCTGGATCTAACAGTGCAACTCATGGAGATGGGAGAGAAGGCTCTCGTCCAGGTCGATGCAAAATATGCATATGGTGTCCGGGGGAGGTAGGGACATGCTTGAATCTAACTGCTAAAGGCTTTATAAACTTAATATTACCAAAGCTTCTGTATATTCCCTTTTGTTTAATTTGACACAAAACAGCGCAACTTTACTTATTCTACAAGCTCTGTTCTTAGATATTCTGAACCCTACTGTGACGCACACTTACATTGGGACTCTTATTTCCTTAACTCCTGACTGTGTTTCTTCATAATTCCAGTCTTGAGCCTGAGGTTCCCCCCAACTCTGAACTATCCCTAGAAGTCGAACTGCTGAAAGCTACTGATGCTCCAGACGTGGAGCTGCTGCCCCCTCCAGAAAAGACCGCCCTGGCCAGCCATAAGAGAGAGAGGGGCAACGTTCATTATCAGCGTGGGGACTACGCGTTTGCAGTGAATTCGTACAGCATTGCCCTGCAGATAACACAGTCGAGTTCTAAAGGTGAGATGCAGGCCAGTGAGTTGGGACTCACTGTCAATTTGTGCTTAGAGGGTAAAGGAAAATTAAGAAGGCACTAACAATGGTAGTAACTGCATTAAGTAGCACAACCCTGTTGTACAATGACAATAAATGATCCCGAAAACAAGAGGGAGCTTTTCCTCAGCATGTGTAAAAATAATGTGACCCGCCTTAGAGGATGATAGGGAATAGAGTTAACCAATGTTCAGTCATTTTAATGATGCACTGATGGACAGGATACTTTTTTAGTATGTTTTAAGTCTTTGTTTATGTTTCTTTTGGTGCAGTTGACATTAGTCCCGAGGAGGAAAATGAGCTGATGGGTGTAAGAGTGAAGTGTTTAAACAACATGGCTGCTTCTCAGCTGAAACTGGACCACTATGACGCCGCACTCAAATCTTGTGTCTCAGCACTGGAACACCAGCCAGACAACATAAAAGCACTTTTCCGCATGGGCAAGGTACACACTCTTTTTCTTTACTTTCTCTGTTTGTCCGTGATGGATTGTTTACTGAAACTTGTGTGTTTTCACTCAAGGTACTAGCCTTGCAAGGGGAATATACAGAAGCCATTCAAACTTTGAGGAAGGCGCTGAAGTTGGAACCAAGCAACAAGGTACTTTTGGCTTCTTCATTTTATCTTTTAGTACGAAGAAATTGCAGTTTCTTCTTGTGACCAGTAGATGGCGTTATTGGGTAGTTTATCAAATCACTTAATTTGTAGTGCAAGGTCAGGTGGACTGCTGATTCATCATTTCAGAGGATCTGTTTTCATGGTGATGCTGTAAATAGGGTTACCCTTCACCCGAGCCGTATCTAATACCTAGCCACTAGTCCTGTTCTTCTGCTTGTACAGTCGGGTATATGTGGTTCCTTGGCTACACAAGGCCATTGACAGAACTCTGCTCAGTGCGTGGGCTTCTTTCTTGGATTCGCTGTGAGATGCAGCAGCATGGTAGTCATGCCCAGAATCCCCCACTTGAGTCCTACACCAATCTGTCAAACAGCACATGGCCTAGCCCCCACTAAAGCTTGTCCTCCGGCATGTGCAGTTTAAATGTAATGTCCTATAACGTTTTGCTATAGTTCACCTGAGGTGGATCACTCTTTTAATGGGCCTTTGTGTCTTTTTATATCTGAAATAATAATCATGCATGCTGTAGATTGGATGCACTTTCAGGCCCTTTTGCGTATGTGTCAATACATAGCTGTTGACAGCATCTATGTTGACAATGATGTCTCTGTGTCAACACACACTTTTATACTGGTGAGAGATTAGCTGTTTGAATGTCAACATAGACTTCCCTCTTAGTGCTTTAATAATGAAAATACTCCCTAAATAACCTCATGTTCTAACAGCAAGAACAGTGGGTGTGCTTCAGTGACAATACCAGAACGCTCCCATTATAATCAATGAGGTGGTCTTAAAGAGAAGCAGGCGTCATGGAGTGAGAGGATGACGCTCTTTCTCTCTCTTCTTCAAGCTTTGACCAACATGCTGTCTGCATTTTTACACTGGTTTCTTGCTGTTCACGCCCTCCTCCTTCAACTCAAATTTGATGTGAAGAGATTTTTTTTTTTTGTCTGTTGTTTACTTTTTGACGTGACAAACGGGCTCGGCAGTTCCAGTTGAGACAGCCTCAGATGCTGTTCGGACAGGATGTTACATGTTTGTTCAGCCTGTTTAATCCTTGCCCTGGGGACAAGTCGGTGTCATTGTTGTCATTTTGCTGCATAGCTGATTGTACAATAGTGTTGCCAACTGCTCAAACAATATTCTGTAAATGTCTCTGCTCACTCTTAGATAGGAACAGACACATTGACAGGACAGACACGCTCTCCACAATTGTCTGTCAGTGTATCCCCACACAATAATGGGGGGGTGGTTCTCTATTTTTGGTCATTTGTGAATACATACAGTAAAGCAGCAGCTAAAGTAGATGTACTGTACTTGACCAATGTTTCTTGGTAATAGAGGTACACTTCTTACCTTTTAAAACAAGGAATGTGATTGGAATACAGCATTACTCAGGCTATGAATAATACTGAGGAGAGTTTATTTTTTATTATTCAGTCAATGATAGAACACTTCTTGATCAATAAGACCAAATGTTGCAGGATGACACAAGTATAATGTTGGGTGTGTATGTGTTTTTTTTTTTTGCCCTCGTTCTCTGTGAAGTGAAGTTGCTGCAAGTAATGCAATGTTGCTCCAGTGCGATTTCTGTAGACTGCGCACTGCACTGAACTCTGTTTAGAAAAATTTGCCTTTTGAAAGCTACACGGTCATATGGAGGCAGTTTGGCTCCTGTGCTTCCTCACCACTGTTTTGGAAGATGGAAATAAAGGGAGTGACAGGCTAACTGGCCATAAAAGTGTAGCATGTTGGCAGTTGTGTCTGATATCAGGCAGAAGTAATATCAGGCAGAAGTAATATCAGACAGAACAGCAACCCAAAGCAGTCCACTGTGGGAAGACTGTCCTCAAATATTCCTATGAAGTGAGCAGTGCTATAAACTCAGATTGTGCTCCATCAGTTTCTCTGAAACGCATTTACAAAGCACAAACCTTTTGAGTTGTTTCTGAAAAGCATTGATTTTCTGAGTCACTCGCCAGCTTTAAGAGCAGTGAAGTGACTCAGATCGGAGACAATGTTGGAACAATAATTAAACTCGTATCCTGGAATTGTGTGTACATGTGTGCTAAACGGCAGGCCACGTTTGTGACGCAAGCTGGTGATTTCTTGTAAGATGATAAAGAGCGGCACAAATACATTTTTTTTTCCCAGTATTTATTTATGCAGCAGATTTAATCAGGGCTTCATCCATTCATCATGATCAATGATCGCCCCTTTATGTCTGTTGATGTAAGCGTATTGTGATCCTGACGTATTCCCAAATCAGTCTTAGGTGGTTATACAGTACTTTGTCCCCCTCGTGTGAGGATAGCTGGGTTGGTAGTAGAGTAGAGGGGGGTTTGGGTGTTAAACTGGAGCCTGCAACGCCTTATTTGTTTTGTCTCTTCTGTATAGACCATCCACGCAGAGCTCTCCAAGCTGGTGAAGAAGAACTCTGAGCAGAGAGGAGCGGAGCAGGCCATGTATAAGAAGATGCTGGGTAACCCCAGTGGTGGTAGCAGCAGCGGTTCTCAGAAACACCGGGCCAAGTCTACGTGGGTGAGAGTCACTCCCCGAGGAAGCGGGTTTGGGGTTTGAATACAGCTTGAATTTCTGTTCATAACATGATGCTCATGCACTTGCATTCTTTTTTTATTTTAAGTGATATGTATGTAATCATCAAGGGAGCCTTTGTGTGATAATGAACAAGGAGCATCAGTTATACATCAATATTTTAAGTCGGATGAATGTGTGTCGTAGAGCTTTTGACGTCGTAATATTCTGCAACCTACTTAACATCCCTTCTCCTCTTCTTCTTTTTATTTCCTCAGGGCCTCAGCTGGAAATGGCTGTTTGGTGCCACTGCGGTAGCCATTGGAGGTGTAGCATTATCCGTTGTCATAGCTGCTAGAAATTGAACCAAGCCTGATGAGCTTGACCAAACCTCTGTAATGTGAGCGTGAATACAGAAGCACATCTGGCAGTGCCTTTTGACTTTTGGTCGGGGGGGGGGGGGGGTGTTGGTCGGTCCTTTGCGTTGTCACTGTCACTCACCTTTCTCTGCTATGTTTGAGAACTATATTTGACAAATAATAAAACATTACTATTTGCATATGGGAGTTGCATCTCCAACATTTATAAATGTGTAGCTTTATGCATATCCGTCATGTTGCCAGACACTGCTTTCCTTTGCTGCCATTGTTTTAGTCTTTGGTAGTTAAAGTTGAAATTTATTTGAAATGTAAAATAATTTAGCATAGATTCAGATAAGAGCTATTTACGTATATTTTTCCCATTTAAGAATAGCTATTGTGATATGGTCCTTTAGTTATGCTATTGTTTTAAAGCATCAGATTGTGCAGCTTAATTAATAATTCCTATCCAAGAGAGAATGTGTGATTTCACTTTTGTTTTAATTGTGGTACAATGCTTAATGTATGTTGAATGATGTAATGCAGATGCTTTATTATTTGAGGTCCACAGGTTGGCAAAGTATCTGGCTTGTGTGCTATAGCGCTCACACCATTTCTAAAGGCTACTCATACACTAAGTGAACATAAAAATACAAGCCCCCTGTACAGTAATGCAGTACTTCTGTTTTAGAAGTTGTCAGTTCAATAGTGCGTAGTGAGGCTGGAGTTTGTTGTGATATTATTCAGAAAGGTGTTCCTAAAATTGTATCCAGCTCATTTTTATACGTGTATATAGAGGAGCAAACATAAAAATAAAAAAGTACCATGTTTGTAATTAACTCCTATCTGACACCGTCAACAGCAAGACACAGAAGTAGTAACATGAATCAACATAAATGCTGGGGTTTCTATATTCACTGTTCAGACTCTGTATACATATATTTAAGCAGCAGCGGAAGTGGATGTACTTTCATTTCAATATGTGTTAAATTACAAATTTCTTGTTAATAGAGGTGCACTTATTACATTTAAAACAAGAACAGAGAATGGTACGTAGTTTCTCAGTGATGTCGCTACGAATAACGCTGAAGGAGAGTTTATTTTTATTATTCAAGTTCCAGTCAATTATACCTCACTTTTTGATGATTAAGACCAAATGTTGAAGGATGACACTTCAAGTACAATGTGTGTGTATATGGATTTCTTTTTTGTTCCCAATATGTTTTGCCTGTGAAGTATTTCTGGGAAATGATGTTGCTTTAAGTGTTTATTCCACTGTTCTGCCATTCCATTGTTTTCTTACCTATAGTTAAAGACTATGTGGCTTCTTCAGAGTAGATGGGAGTCCTACAGAGCCAAAAGCTGCATAAATCAAACAGTTGGTGACAAATGAAGTGGTCGAGAAAGTCCCCGGCATTCCCTGTATTTGTTAATTTTATAATGACAATAAAATGTGTCCGACATCAAGCCACAGTTTCCTTTTATCCTTTTTGTTTTCAGGTTAAGTATCGGGGACGAGGTATCCAGTGGTTTGTGACTGTTTCCAGTTCTGGACTGACTTCATGAAGTGTTACAGGGTGGTGTGTGGCATCTCTGCTGTATAAAACTGGCTTCAGAGGATTAAGAAATATAAATGCAGATAGGTAATGGCTGTACCAGACAGATACACCTTCCAGTAAAATTCATCCAGTCCTATTTGTACAGTAAATTAAAACAATCCACTTGTTCTTAAGACAAGATAACAAATATTCTGTCTTTACATTTCTCCTTTTATATCTGTTTACAGCTGGACTTTCCCACATTTTCTGGATATTCCCAAAGCTGTTTTTTTATTTATTTATTTTTAGGCATTGACGTTTCTCTGACGCAATCAGATGACCTATCGTTTCCCACTTCCTACGCACAACTGATGTCAATGCCCAATCTTAAAATACTGTGAAAAGTTACATATTTTTGTCCCCCATTAAAACATATAATTACAAAATACATTAGCATCTTAAAAATCAATAATTAAGGCGTTGTATCCGATTTAGAAGTAAAAGACGACGACTATTACTAGAATACTATTCCACAGTAGTTTACACCTATAATATTGTATTATGATATGTACGCTGCAGTGTAAATGTAGTTTAGTTATACTACACATGTGACTATATAGGGCTTCGTTGCTGCTCAATGACTTCATCATCTGTGACCGCTCATTTGAATATTCATTTGAAAAAGCAACGGGAGTTCTCCGGTTTACGACAGAGTGCGTTCCGTGCGCGTGGTGGTGGGAACACGGTAGCAAAGATGGCGGCGCTGAAGGAGGAGCAGTGCTACGGACTGTCCTGTGGAAGAGTGAGCAACGGTAGCAATGTCTCCGTCTTTCACGTTAAACTCACTGACAGCGCACTGCGAGCGTTCGAAGGCTACCAAGGTAGTAAGGTAAATACATTTGCCGTTTTCGTTACCGTGACATTTTTCGGTTCACGTTTTTTTTAAGTCTGTGACAGACTCTGAGGTCAGTCCTGTCTGTCTTCATGCTGCGATACACATACACAGCCACAGCAGGCTGGCTGAGGTTGGCTAGTTTGCCTCTTTAAGTGGCTGGTTAGCCATCAAACTGACTGGTATTGGATGTGAAGTAGCTGTAGCCAACAGTTAACACCCAAGACCGACTGTTGAGCACCGTGAACGTTACTCTGTGGCACGTCTGAAGCTACTACTGGACACTGAGCCCCAGTAGTTGTTTCATTGTATTGTTTTGTAATTGTAAACAGTTTTTGGTTTTTTTAAATTGGCGTTGTTGTGAACTTGCCTTTTTTTTTTTTTTTTACCAGGATGTCTAACGAGAAACTCAACTAAAAACACCGAGCACTTCTGCGACGTGAACAGATGTTTCCAGAAAGTTTTGTTATAAGCTGTCAAAAAAAAATCTGGCAAAACCTTTTTTTGCTAAGCTAAACTAGCCAGCAGCTGGCCACATATAGCGTTAACAGCTAACTTCACCGTTTGAGATATATATATATATATATGTGTGTGTATATATATATATATATATATATATAAGCCCTGTTCTCTTAAGTACTTGTTTTATTCGGTTGTTAACTCAAAGTAAGCGTTGCCTTGGTTGAGTATCTAATGACAAAATGGTGAGTAATTTGGAAAAGTACCCAGTATGCACGAGAAAGATGGCCCCCTCTGCCATTAAAGGCTCATGTTCACTTGACAGCTTTTAGAAGTGCGTCAAAGTTTTTTAACTGTGGATTCGACACACTTAGTAGTTTTAAAAAAAAAAAAAAAAAAATGAGGGGTTGAATTCAAGGTTTGGTCTCTGCTGCTTCTTCTTGCTTTGGCTTCTTGTGCGGAGAGGTAAAAGTCTGATGTGTTGGCCATCTAACGTTTCAGCTTCTATAAATATTTGACAGGGAAAACCTGGCAGGCCAGGAGGATATAAGGCCTTATCTCCAGCCATGGTGGCTGTGTACAGCAGCTGATTTTATTAAAGTCTGAACAATAAAACTGTGACAGGTAATTGGGTGACCACTAGTTGTAGGAATTTGTGTGTATTTGAATAATGTATGACACACAGAAGATATTCGGGTGATCCGTTTACTCCTTAAGATATTTGTAAATGTAGCTACAGTAGTTACTCCGGCAAAGATTTCAATCTTTACAATTTCTAAGGAGCCTTTGTTCTTTTCCATTGCATGTTATTGCAGATTTATTTTGCAGTAAACGGCATTTGTTTAAGTTGTAGTTTTTGCTAAATCACTGAAAAGAGTAGATTGGTTCTTTTTTGTGTCTGAAACATTAAGGGATATTTGGGCTGCTGCATCCAACTTGCGCTGCTGATGATTCAGGATGTAGCCTGTTCACTTTTTGGCTAGTACCCCAAACTTAGCCTTGATTAATGTATCCTTGCACTAACTGGATATTTCTTATGCAAAGTAGGTAAACTATCAGCTCGAGGCCTGTGTCAGGTACATTTGTCCCACTGCTTTCCATGTGAAGTGTTTGTGATTCAGAATGAGTTGTTTTTTTTTTTTTACGAGGAGGGATGACGGTACATGTGTGGTTGTCTCCAGCATCTTGGGGCTCTATGTGGAGTTGATTATCGGCGCGGCATTCCTTCAGAAGTAGAATGCTGTCCCGATTTCTAGCACCATTGTTCCAAATCCACAAAGTCATGTTAAATGCACATTCTCTTTTATTTATTCAAAAATATGTTAGTAATACAAGTTCTGAAGATTCTGTCTGCCGGGCTTTTTATTGGTGCAGTTGGTTTAATACGTGGATGATGAAAGAGGCAAGTTGGAATCATGTTTTACAGTTAAGATGCACCTTTATTGACAATTGCGTCTTGTACAGACTTGCAACCCACTATTGCTCAGCGTATGCACCACCAGTTAAAACCCTTACTCACAGTTTGACCAGATCTAGGCTATTGAGTAATCAAATGTGTGTGTTGTATTGCTGTGAACGCTTCGTTTGTGGTGAAGGTTCGGAGCCGTATTCTCGGGAGATGGGTTCTCAAATTTGGCACTTTGGACTTGGTTCTACTTTAGGTCGCTATATGACAATACTTTTGTCTTTTATCAGACACAAATGAGGACCATACGTGAGCGCTAGTAGTGTGACTGTTGACAGCTTTTGTTGCGGCCCAGTCACGGTATCTTCACACAATCACAGATAACGAGCATAAATCATACCATCCATCTGAGACACGGTATTCATGCACAGCCGTGCAGGTGTGCCACATGTGTGTTACATCTTGTTGCAAAACAAACAGGAGTGTCCTCAGTCGGTCACACATGCGACTGCTCAGAGCGCTGCATATTTAAGAAGTAGCGTATTGAAATTCAAAGATAACAGTTTAAAGGCCTACATTACGGTGCAATGAGCCGCTCAGCTAACACGGACCACATGTGCACAAACTCGGAGTGAGAAAAGATGCACAGAAAAAATGTGGCCAGCTGTCTATTAGGTTTGTGATGTGACGGATTATCATCAATGCAAGCTTTGGGCCTCTTATTGCCTTGTGTTAATGTGTCTGTTTTTTCACATCAGGTCAAGAAATATCTGCGTGTCCCACAGCCAAATACAAAGAAAGAAATGTTCTGTTACTCTCCAGGTTCAGACCAACTTAGATGAGCAACTCCTGTGCTTTGTGGGAGAGTTTAGTTAGCGTGTTGCTCTTACATTAACCTCTCCAAACTTGAGCTTATGTTGGGCTCAGTGTGTCTCGGGTATGTTTTAGAGGGGGCTGAGCCCCTTCGGCTTCCTCCTAATTCAAACACTGGCTGGCACCCAGCATTAGCGGTGAGCTGGGAACTCAGTAGAGGAAGAGGAAGAGAGCGACAGAATGACACACCTTTTCAATGTAAAAGTTGTGGCGTAGTCAATCATGTAATCGGACAACGCTGGTGATGTTTATGACCCCAGTTTTGCTATTGTTTGACTGGAAAATGTGGCAACGCTGGCAGGCACCTGCTTTAATAAGGAAGCTAAAATCCAGGCCAGTGTACGTCAAGATCACTTTGATACATCGTAGACACTACCGAGCAACAAACGCGCATACAGCTGGAACAGTTAAATTGTTAATTGTGTCATTGTAAAGTCACTACATTCTAGGATAACACGATGCTAGGCTAGCCAAATTCTAAATGTTGTCCCAGCTAAGCTAATTCAGTTAAACTGTCCAGTAGTCAATGTTATGCTACTAAGAATCTTGTGTAATTCTGTGAGTATTTCTGTTGGTACATTGAGCAACAGTTCAGTGTATTGACGGCTTCCTGCATGAGACGTGACTGTCAGCTGGTTCCTCTGTCGGTGTGTCTGAGGACAGAGTCTGGCAGCACCAGAGACTCATCTCTTTACTGGCTGTGACATAAGCAAGGAAATGAGTAAAGCATACTTGAGCGTCATCAAGCCGAATGTTGGAGGTAGAAGTTTATAATTCTGGCTCTGGGTGACTGCTGTTACAGCACAGTATTGGAGAGCGCTGTGTTTTAAGAATTACAGGCCTAAGCATTGAACTCAAATATTCAACTCTAAAATGAACATCCATAGGCAGTCCAAGAAAGCTTGCATATGGCAATGAATCCTGTGTGTTGGCACTGCACTATTACTCTAATGAGAGATGAGTCGTCTCATTTAAATGGTTTAACCTTTTTCAGTCCTGTGTGTCTTGTGACGGATCAGCGATTTATAAACTGGGAGTGTGAACTTTACATTCTTCAGGACATGCATCACAGTAGTGACACCTATCCTGTGGTTGGCAATGTGAAATGTAATTGTTGCATTTATGTTTTGAAACCTGGAATTAAAATAGTGACGAGTTCATTTTATTCAGTACTTTTAACAATCGGCTGTCAAAATAAGACCTGATGGCCGATCCCTGCTGTCGTCGTTAGACCAGGTAAACACGATTACCATGCCATGCTGCCTGTCAAATTATGACTGGAATTATTGATTTGCTGAAC